GTATTTCTAAGGTTCCTGTCTGGTCTTCCTGGTGGAACATCAGTCAGGATGTCTCCGAAACAGTTACCATGGTTACAGCACCTGCACTTACATCCTGTCTCCTAAGCTGACTCTGACAAAGATCAGAGCAAAGTATGTTAAACCAAGATTATCTCATTTACTCATCTTAACCATTGGTGATTATAAAAGCATTTATGATCACACATGAATACATGAATGAAAATCAGTGAAACATTATCATCAATAAATGAACACATGATCAGTAAAAATACAAATCAAATAATGAAAAGTTAAATCATGACAGAATATAATATATTTTCATTGAATAAACAGTTGAGTTGGTTCCTGATCAGTAGTTTGGTTCAAACTTCTTTTGATTTGTTTCTGAGTTTCCCAAAACTAGCACACAGTCAGTGATGAATGGAAGTACAAGTGAACAATACAACGTGAAGAATGAAGTGGGATTTAACAAATCCTTTATTTTATACAGTGTTCTGATGGATTTGAACATTTTTGCTTTGACATGATGTTTATGTGGTTTATTATCTAGAATCATCCAAAACTTTGATTTCTTTTTATTTCAACGTCACTTATCAAAGTTTGTTAATTTGTCACACGATGATCAAAGATGATGAATTTAGTTTGTTCAAATCAAAACAACTCTTTACAAGTTGTGATTCTTGTTCCACAGATGCTGAATTTGATCCAGAAAGACTCTTGTTTGACATTCGGAGGTTTTTCTTCACACAAACAAATGTTTTAAGATAACAAAGTTCAGTTTTATACACAAAGTCAAACATATTTCACAGCTTCTCTCAGACAACAGATCATTTCAGGTCATTACATGGACCTCGCTCAGCTCTTTTAGACATCCATCTGCAACACCACAAGTCCCAGAGAGCTCTCAATCCCCCAGAGTCCAGACCAGCTCTGGTACCCCTCACCTGCTCCAACTGCATTTACAACCACTGAGAGATCAGGTTGGTACTAACTAACATCAGCTGTGTGTGATCCTGTACACACTGAACTATCTGGTCAGCAGAGAGAAAGTTTCTCTACCAGGAGGAGACTCTCCCTCTTACAGAGAACACAGAGACACTGAGGAACCAGACCTGGACCTGGACCTGAACCAGAACCCAAACCCAGGATAAAGAGGTTCAGTGAATGTGGTGTTGAAGGTGTGGAGGTGGATCAGTGTGTCAGAGGAGACTCTGTAGAAGGACACAGAGCCAGCAGGACAGTCCACATACACTGCTACTCTACCAGAGGAGGAGGAGGAGGAGGAGGAGGAGGAGGAGGAGGAGGAGATGTATGGTAATGTCATATTGTGACAGACATAGTAACCACGATCAGAGCACTCCAGACTCCAGGACTGATCATTCCTTCCAAACAAACAGTCTTCACTGTCTCCTCTCCTTCTGATTCCTCTGTAACACACTGATGTATAAACTCTTCCTCTCCACTCGACCTCCCAGTAACAGCGACCAGTCAGACCAGTTCTACACATCAGCTGAAGCCAGTGATCAAATCTGTCTGGATGATCAGGATATGACTGATCCTCCTCCACATGTGTCACCTTCCTGTTGTTGTCAGACAGCTTGAGGTTTCTGTTCACTGTGTTTGTGTCGAGTGTGAGTTCACAGGAATCTGATGGAGAGAACAAGACACAATACAGCTGCAGTTATTAATCTATCATCTGTTTGATGATGACATCAGAGATGTGAATGAGTGATGTCACAGTTTGAAGATGCTTTGTTTTCATGAATCAAACTCAAAGCACACTTACACTTCCTCAGACCTGGTCTGGACCATCGGACTCCAGCAGGCTCCACCCTGAAAGGAGGAGGGGGGTCAGAGCAGCATGGAGACATGGACATTACATCGCTCTCACACACGGAGCTTTGTTATTCATGTTCACTTGGAGCACTTATTATTCATCAGCTCATACTCTTTGACTTCACTGGAGCTTCTTCTGATTGGCCCATGACGACAGCTCATTATGTTCACTTATTCATGATGTATTATTATCAGTATTATATTGACCATCATCATCCATTTCACACTCAGTTTCCTCTACAGTCAGTCAATGAGTCACATGTTTAAACCTGCATCTATTGATTTCTTTGTCCACTTGTGGTTCAGTGAAAACAAGCTGTGAACACAACATGTGACATCTTATCAGCTTATAAAGTAGTTGTGTCTAACATGATATCAACAGCTGCTTCCATATCCAGCAGTTACACATCAACATGATGACTCATCAGGAGCCTTTGTGTTTGTGTCTCCTGATGAATGGAAGTCCACTACTCTCTCTCTTGTAGCTCTGTGTTTGGTCTCCACCACCTCCTGAGGGAAACATCTGTCTCTTTAGCTGCTAAATGCTCCACTATGTTCACCAGCTCGTCTCTAACTGAGTCTGTCTGCTGTTTGCTGCTGAGCAGGTAGTGAACAGTGGCTTCATCACAGCTTGTTGGATGAAAACAGCTGCTGCTGGAAACACTGAGACTCAAGCAAACAGGAAATGTGCTGCAGAACCAAAACTAGGAGCTAAAAGACGCTAAAAAGCTGTGTAGAGCTGCAGAGATGGAGACAGTTCTCTGTGGGTTCATCACCACCACACGACTCTTCACCATCACACAGAGTCAGCTGATCCGTTGTCAATATAGAAGTATTGATTGTTGGATGTTTTGGTCCTGACAAGTGACCTCTTGTGTTTGTGTAATAATGACGGTTCTCTCTCAGAAGTAAAGGAGGAAGTATCCTGAAATCACTACAGCGCCACAACCCCTCTGATGGAGGAGGTCGGGGGGG